CTGGAACTATGAAATATCTTCGTCATAAAGAAACAACATCTAACAATAATTTGCATACGTAGCGATGCAAGTTGTGTAAATTTAACGTAATAAGATTGAAGGATGATAAATCATTCGAAATTCTGTTGTAGTTCTATTCATTTCAAAATATTTTCAATCCCACTAATCGGGCAACAAATTCTACACCTATTCCGGATGCCCGTAAGGAATTGGCCACAATTACTAAACGCAATTTAAATCGTTTTGAATCTCTCATCCGAAATTATCGGAAACTCATCGATCATCAGTTTTACCAATATTTACATCTGAAACAGTTTCATTACAGAAGACTTTTTTTGTCATTATTTCACGCTCATCGCTCATTCTCAGCAACAGACCACGTAGAAACCATTAAAATACCGCCACCAATAGCCCAGCTATTACTTCAAATCCAAGGCAGACTTTCATTATTTTCACTCTATAAAGAACACAAAAAAGTGGAAGTGATTCCGCGGATATTCATTACGGCCATCGGTCTGGTATTGATGAATCGACATTAATGACGTTTTGACGACTATTTAATTTTCTACCCGATGCCATTTCCGCAGATGTGAACATTCCAATCTGTGCAGATCTGAAAATTCAGATGAGCCTTTGCTCCGACATTACGAATCAACGGACCGCAATATGTACCGAGTACACTCACGTCAATTCGGCCTTCAGCACACTATGCGCATCGGGCACCATAAGGTTCGCAGCGGCAAAACATACACTCAGGGCAAAAACTGCAGTTTCCAACAGTAATTGAACACTATGGCCTAAAATATTGGTTACATTGATTTAAATCTGAAGGCTTTCTTGGGTAGTACGTCACTAACGTAATTATTTTGTTAACAAAAGAATATCTACTCCGTCGCCGAATATTGGACATTACTTTCATATATAAAAGTTGGCAATAGCCTTTTTGTAAAACACTAGAATTCTAATAATTGAAAGCAAGTTCATTCTATTGTGCTTCAGCTGTGGTTCGTCCAATGTATACGAAAACAAAAGATTGCGAAATAGAACAGTAAGATTATAACGATTGGTGTTAACACTAGAATTCTAATAATTGAACGCAAGTTCATTCTATTGTGCTTCAGCTGTGGTTCGTTCAATGTATACGAAAACAAAAGATTGCGAAATATAACAGTAAGATTATAACGATTGGTGTTGAATTAAAAGCCGCTTGGAAATTAAAAGCTATTACCCTCCGCAGCCACATAATCGATAATGACTGACAACTGTACGGCAGACCCGTTGACGGCGAACCGTCAGGCACGTGGGCAACCGCCGCGCCGGAGCAAACCGACCAGTTGACAGCCATGTATGTTTTCAGACGTCCGTTGCTTGGCACGATAGTGCATCCATTATTTCCGTCTAAGCAGATGACGAACATAAACAGCCGTTCGTGACGGTGGAGGCCGGGAGGAGGAGGGGGGGGGGGACAAGCACCAGACGCAGTCTCGCCACGTTAAAGCAGTCGAGGAAAATAATGCATCATAGGGAAGGCAATGGCCACAACGCGCAACCAGAGTAGAAAAGAAAGTGAAGAATCGATAACTGAAGTGAAAGTGATGCGAAAGTCCTACCACACACAAACACACACACACACACGTAATCCGTCTTCGAACAAGGTAGTTGACGTTTCGTTTTGCCATTCTTCTACCAGCAATGGGGAAATATGTGTTCATTTAATAGGATATTAATCCCTAGGGTAACCACTGGAGCACTTATGCATTAATTGCAATATTATCACTTCCTTTTCAGGTTTTTTTATTTCTGAATAAAATATCTGGGAAAACTAAGAAGATGGTTAAATACCATTAAATTCCACGCTATTTTTCTCTTCGTTACATGAAAGCCTCAATATACCAAGGCATGAACATGAACAGTCCTACTATTATGGAGATATCCAGTGGCGACGCACACTAAAAAACATTATGAAATGGTTAAGAAATAATATCACAGCTAACAACTATTTTATTTGTCTCTCAAACGGCAAAAGCATTATACTATAGGAATGAATGCCCCGATTGACACTGTTCAAATAAAGATACTTTGTAGATAAGTTTTATTTCATGGCTAATTGCTTTTACCGTAGTATGTCAAGTTATAACATTTTTTGAAGGCAGAATCCGTCGTCCCGTCACGTCACGTCCCGTCCCGTCCCGTCCCTCGTTTTCTAAGATGACATGCTTAGTCTTGTCCCACCACGCCCTTTCTCGTTCTTCTCCCTTACCTCCCAGCCACTCCCCTACGCTTAATTCCGGTCAGCAGAGCTCGGACTCCCTGCCGCCCTCCATCTGTCACGCGCGGTTTTGAACGACGCCTTCACCGCGCGCGCGCTCACGGGACGTGCTACGTAATGCCCATGACGTCAACAGCGAGTTTCTATGACCTATATGCACTGCGCGCACCCG